AACAAAATCAACATCATTTAAATGCAACAACGTTTTTACACGCCCCTTTTACCATGGAAAAAGCAGGAGCGGTTTTTTTTAATTTTTTCTATATTTCAGTTTTTTTTTGATTTTTTATTTTTTGCTTTGTTCACAGAAATTCTCATCAAAATATCAAGTTACGTACAATAATAGTTGTCATACGTTGAAAAATGCCTTCGGTTTATACTTATACAAGAATAAAAATAACGTTTTTCTAATGTTGATGGATCTGGTTCGTCTCGTCTCCTCACTTATTCACGTTTAGCTGTTATTATTCGCTTCATTCTGCCGCTGTTATTCTTGTTTGTATAATAAACTAAACCTAAGTACAAGAAATGTTCTCCTTCGTTTCATGATTTTGGTTTTTGTTTTTTTTTTTTTGGCCTTTTTGCCCAATTGTTTCTGCTATGTTTTCCGTATTTATTTTCTAGATTCTCTTATAATTTGTTTCCCCTTATAAAATGATTTCCGAATGGAGATGCACAAAAAGCCGCAACAAACAAGCCATAATAATAATAATTAATAATGTATAATGATCAATAATTTTGTTTCGGTTTCGCTTTTGCTATAATTATATAATCTAGGTGGTTAAGGGGCGCGGGCGAGGCTGAAAATATGCTAATTGAATTAAATTCTATTAATTATTCTCGCAGTTAATCAACTAATAATTTATGCAAACATTTCGAGTCAGCTGCAAAATTATTTCCAGTTTGAGTTCAGTTATTTAGCTCTATTTTTTGTATACTTATAGTTTTTAATTTTCTGCTTGATTTGCGAAGGTCCGAAATAAACAATCAATTGTAGGAACCTGGAAAATTGGGATCTGGGCTAACGGGATGCTTGTTTTGTGAACTTAGCACACATCGAATGCACATCAATAATAGTAATTAAGCACTGACAATTAGATTTTTTGCTATTTGCTATTAGCTAAGAATTTTTCTGTTTTGCACAAGCATTAAATAGAATTATTATTTTTTCTTTTATTTTTTTTTGTATTTTTTGATTCACTTACTCCTAAAATGTATTTTCCTTTTGGTTTTTCCTGTGCCGAAACTTGTGAATTTTCCATTTTATACCTTTAGTTTTTTTCTTATCTTTTGATATCAATTACACTGCCTTATGATTACAATTATAAATATGAATGCATGCCTGGGGTTGCGATCATATACAGAAACGAGGAAGGGCTAAACTGAGTTATCTCGTAAAAATTCTAAGTAATCACCACTTGCTGCCGCTCCCAAAATATCCAATTTCCAATCAGTAGACCCCACTTCTCTAACCCTAACCCCGTGTACCTCCCTCCTCATCGGCATTCCATCACCATTCTTGCTTTAGTAACCGTTCGTGCGTTCGTAGCTCAAATAAAACGTACTTCGATAGTTGTAATTTATAATGCTGTGCCTTAATTTGTAGATGCTTTGCATAATCCTTTCTCCAAAAACTGACTTCTACGCCATTACGACAGATATACATCAATTTAACTCACATACACACTTTACACACAACTGCCACGTAAATAGGTTCGCCATACGCTCTAAGTATATTCCCTTAAACACATAGCCGCTGTATATATTTATATATTTTTTATGTAGTTTACTTTTGAGTTCATTTAACATTAAACTAATTCATTTCACTAAACTATACACAAAATCTTTTACGAGTTATGCCCTTATTTGCCTACATAAAATGTTTTACTCCTTTTCCTCCCCGTACCCCGAGTCCCGTATTCCCGATTCCCATCCTCATTCCCAATTTTCCGACTCTATATGTGTGTGTATATCCCCACTTCGCCTCCCCATATATTTCTGCTATACTAAGCCTGGCCCTCCGCCATTTAGTCTACTCTTAAACTAAACGCTTATGATATTCCGCTCTCGAGTGAGGAAAATCCTGGGAAATGGGAGGCGGGGGTAATGGGGCGGGGCGGGGTGGAAGGGAGGAAGGGGAAAATTGCTAAGCACATTTGCAAACGAAACTCTAAACGAAATTAAAATGTATTTACTCTAGTTTTAGTATACTTTATTTATTTTTATGTGTGCCTGCTGCCAAAAATGTTCCTGCCCTGCGACTTCTGACTTCCGGCTTCTGTACTCTGCCTCTGCCTCAGCCTCTGCCTTTGGTTTTTGTTGTAATGCCCGGCTGTAAATCTGTAGAAAATGTTTATAGATTTTCCCTCGGCAACAAGAGCCCCGGACTCTCGTCTCCCGTCTACCGCCTCTCGTACTTTGCCGGCTGGTTGACTTCGCAAAAGCTGACCCCAGGGAGCTGCCTTTGTAAAATGTTCAAGTGTAGACACTAAAATATATCCATAGTTTTTGGTTTAGTACTCTCTAGACTCACATTCAGCGTTACTTAAAATTCGTACTTCATTAACTTTAATTGCGGGATCGCGGCAATGCCTTCCCTCTTACGTATGCGTAGTTTTTGCTGCCGAATCGGAGAATCGAAATGATCGAGTGGTACTTAACCTAATCGCTCTGGGCTCACACACCATATACCATATACAATTTGGAGTACAGTACTTTATGACTTTGGTTTCGAAGTCGAATTCGAAATCGAAATTCCATTTACTCGTACACGTACATATATATATTTGTTTACTTTTTCTATTTTGCAATTGTTGCATAAACGCGGAACACCTCGTTGACCAGTCTTTCATTTTTGGTTTACCTTTTTACACAATTATTTTGTTAATTTTCTCATTTTAAAATACACTTCTTCGGTTGTAAAATACATATATATATATATTCTGGTTTATCCATATCTATAGTGACGCTCACTCTGCGCTCGTGACTATCCAATATCTGCTTTAGGATCTAAATATGCTTTACACTTTCGATTTTTAGTTTAAAGGTTTTCTATACAAAATATTTGTTATATTCGGGTTTCTATTTTTTACTGTTTCGGTTTTCGTTTTTTGGTTTTAGTTTTGGTTTTTCTCAAAAGTTAGACTAAACTGATTGAAGCATTTTTGACACATCGTATTGGATTTGGATTTTTCACGTAATCATTAAGTATTGTTCAGTGCAATTTTCGCTTGGAAGCCAAACGGGATTCTGGAACTGGAAGGGACCCTTCTGCGGGCCTTTTGGGATTATCCGTTTGTGGCGCGTTGATCTGATGATATATCGATACATACAAATATGATAACATTCAAATGACACAAAGCACAAGCAACACACGTACATATTGATATCGACAACGATTACAAATCGGAATCGCCGAAACTCTCCTCCCATCTACATTCAAGTGAGAATAAAGCTAGAAAAAGGAGACAAACTGTTTTTCGTTTTGTATGTACATAAACATTTTAAATATATATGTATATCAAGAATTTAACAAATTCTTTGCTCCTTTTAGTGAAGGATTCGCTTTGATTTCTTTTTTTTGGCAAAGTTTCCCTCTCTTAGCCCCATTTTTTCCGCATTTTTCGTGCACGTTTGCTGCAGTTGATTATCTGCCTGTCATTGGTTTTTGGTTTTTCATTTATTTTTTTCTTTGCCTTAGCTATTTTGTTGTTGTTGTTCTCTGGATCACAGAATTTCTCATCACACAAACCATAATGATTGACCGATCTCTCGACCAACGTTGTATACTTTGATGTCGTGTCTCATTTGCTGAGGGGTGCTGGTGGAAAATGATAAGCCCATGGAAACATTCGTTTTTCACATACTTTTTCTTTATTTAAAAATAATTAAAAATTAAACAAATCATTATAAACAAGAATGAGGAAATGATACACTACAAAATGATGATCAGCACACAAAAAATAAAAGAAATAACGAAATTTCTAGTCTACCAAAATAAAAGGATACCGAAAAAAAGATTCTTAGCTACGAGGAATTTACTGATTTGATTTACTGATTTGATTTAATTAAATTCAATTAAAATTAATGAGGCACATAAAGAAGAATTTGTATGTTAAGTCGAATATAGATTTTGTTTCGCTTTCGATTGAGAATACAAATTTCGATTAAATTAGTTTTACATATCAAAATGTGTTCGTAATACTTTCCATCACTTAGGCAATGCATAAGAGAAATTTTTACATTAAATAATTACGTATATTCATTAAAAACATAGCAACAAAATTGCTTTCTCGCCAAAAATACCGAATATCAATTGAAGTTTAATTTAGGCGCTTGATTAAATTTAATGTTAATAGGTTTCCAATTTCGAGTGGTGCGGTGAAATGATATTCAGACCTAGGCAACATTTAAATTACATTTAAAATTAGTTTAAGAAAATAAGCATTTTTAACGTTTGTGTTTTGTTTTGTTTAAAACATATTTTGCACTTTTACCTTTTTCTTGTATTTGTATTTCTATTTACTGATGCCGACGTATGAAACTAATTATTTATATTAATTCTTTACATTTACATATATTTTTTCTAGTTTTTAGGTTTTGTTTTTTTGTTTGTTTTTTCTTTTTACATTTTCGTTTTGGCAGTGTTCACATTATGAAAACAAAAATATTCTTTTTTAATTAAATTACTAGTTGTTTTTTTTTTTTTTTCCCAGCGCTTGCCGTTTTTTTTTTTTGTTGCTGCTTTACTAATTAAAGAAATCTGCTTCGCTTTGGTAAATTGTACACAATTTTTGCTGTTTGTTCAGAACTTGCCGCTAAATGCTAGGTGTGAATGGGGAAATGCGATCGGGCTGCTATAGCTTAAACTTACACTTAACAAGGCATTGAAACAAATCGAATTTGCAATTGAAACGATAACGACGATAACCATACGATAACGAAAACGATAACGGCGACAATAATGGCAACACAAATGTCAATCAGAATCTCGGATAACGGGAATTTCCATCTTTGTGCTTGTGTTGTGATGTTTTCTATGTTTTTATATTTTACTTTTCCTTTTTAGTTTTCTCCACCCCTCTCTGCTCCACGAATTAAGTGGTTTTGATTAGCGTTACGCAAGTTTTTCATCGTTCCTTGATGGCACACAGTTTCCGCTGAACTCCTCCTCCTCCGGATTTCTCGGCTTTTCCGGCACTCCCTGCTTAGATCTCGCCTCACATGTGGCGCTTCATGTGGAGCGCCAGGTGATCGGACCGCGAGAAGCAGCGATCGCAGTTGCGGCACTTGAACGGCTTGGCGCCCGTGTGTTTGCGGTAGTGGCGGGTCAGCTCGTCGCTCCTCGCGAACCTCCATTCGCAGCCCTCCCAGGAGCACTTGTACGGCTTCTCACCTGCAACGGGAAGGGAAGGCGGAAAGTGTTATTAAATAAGTTACATTTTGAATGGCAAGCGCTAAAAAGCACTTGAAAAAATTATAGAAAATAAAATTAAACCATAAACCTCAAAACTCTTAATAACCACACACAAAAAAATAAATACGTCGCGGTCAAATCGATATGCGCATGGTAAATTTCTGGTATATCGTTTTTACCGTGCTCTCTCGGAGATTCGAAAAAGAGCGAGATAGCTCTTAAAGTTACGTGAGTGGGAAAATTGATACCACATAACGTAAAATCGATCATCGAATTATATCAACCTTGTTTTATTGTGTGCAAATATTTTTGTAAATTAAATAAATAAATAAATAAATAATATTCCTAAACATTTTTAAATCCATTTCGATGGAAAATTTCTCCCAGTGCCCCAAAGCTGCCGCAGTGGAAAGTGGCTGCAATTTCGCCGCTACTTCGCTGCAGCAGCACAAACAATAAAGCGCATAAATATGCGTGCTCTGGGAGGCAAGGGCTAGAGTTTGGGGAAACATTTTTTATTTAGCACGCGCCTGCCAAATGAAAAAACTTTTTCGACGCTGGCGCTCCGCGGATGAGAAATATGCATAAAGTAAAACATGAGTAAACAGAGGGCCGGGAGGGAAAAGAAAAGCGGAAAACGGGTAAAACGCACAAACAGTCAGGAATTTAAGACAATTAAAAATGAAAAACTGTAAAATTAAAACCGAGCCGAAACGGAACAAAACGAAACGAAATGATGCTAAAGTCGACGTCAACGGTGTGCCAAGCGCGGTCCTTTGCCAACATTTTTCATGCGTGCCAAAAGCCTCAAAGGATACAAGCGGAGTAGCGCCAAAAGCCAGCCAGAGCGGGATCCCAGAAACCAGAATCCAGCATCCAGCATCCAGGACCAAAAACAGAGCCAGAATCCGAATCAGAAACAGAAACCGAAACAGAGCCATGGCGAAAGCCCAGCCAGCCGAAAGGAAAAGGAAATGCAGAAGTTGTAATTTCACACAAAGCAAAAAAAAGGGGAAAATAAAAGAGGAACCTAAAAATGCGAGGGCCAGAGCGAGAAAGACCTGAATAGAGCGGGGTGTAAAGCCGGCCAGTGCAGGAGAACACTGAAAAAATACGAAAACCAAGGCCCCAAACCTCCGAAAAAGAGGAAAAAATGGGAAAATTATTTCAGTTTAAAAGACAAACAGCAGCCGAGGCAGGAAATTGCCGCCGCTGGAGCAGCGGGGGGAAAAGCGAAGGAAAATGGAGCGAGATAACCGGCAAGTAGACGACGACAGCCAAGAAAAATGCATAAAGCTGAGTGGAAAACTTTGTAACGCATACCACACATACATAGACTTGGCTTAAAACTTAATGCATGCGGAAATGTGTGATATTTCCGTGCTCAATTTCACATTATGCACTTGCGGCTTTCCACCCATTTTCGCCCGGCCATTTTTCCCCAGCCAGCTATAGCCAGCCAACCCTTTTCCGTTGACCGGAGCTTGGACTTGCCGGCTGTCTTAATTTCCATTTGTTTACACTTGGCCGTAGCTCAAGTCGCTTGTGTGTTGGTGAGTTATTGGTGAATGTGTTGGTGAAAGGGTTGGCTAGTTTCTTTATATTGATAGCACTCGTTTAAAGATTTGTTTTAAGTTTCTCGGTGGTGAATATGTTCTGATATCTAATTTGTTGTTGATTTTATTGTTGAAAATGTGTTGGTGAATATGTTGTTGAATGCCTTTATATTGATTCATCTTATTTTTAAATATTTTTAATATTTAATACTTTTAAATATTTTTTCTTCGCCTGTCATCAAAAGTGTTGGTGAGTTTGTTGTTGAATGTGTTGTTGAATATGCTTCTAAGGAATTTTCATATCTACTTTGTTGGTGAATATGTTGTTGATATTGTTTGTGAATTAATTGGTGAATGTAGTTTTCTTGGCAAATGGTTTATGTTGGTGAGTTAAATGCGTTTTGGTGAACTTATTGGTGAATGCCCATTTGTTGGCCAGTGCTTTATGTTGGTGAGCATAATGTGAGTGTGTGTGTGGGCGAATGCCACTTGCACTTTGGCATGTTGTCAGAACTGTTTGGGAATCGAAGCATTGGCAATAAATAAACGAATGCACACTCACACATATCGTTGTCTTTGGCACTTAGTTGGCTCTCCTCGCTCTTTATCAGTTTTTCTCTGTTTCTGACTAGCCCCCCTGCCCTCCTCCCCTGGGCCATCCCTTGCAGTCCTCTTCTGGCTGTGTAAATCAGCGTCAAATGCACAAAGTGCAGGCCCAGAGATCTAGGATGCGACCCCCAAGAGTCTCGTATTGAAGTGCATTTAAACGGCAAAAGAGCTGGCAGCGGGCGGTCGGCAATCCGAAGGGGGCCAAAAGCAGCGATAAAGCACCCAAAATGGCCGTGTTATCTGGCCATTGAAGTGGCCCGGCAAAACGAAACGAAACCAAAAACGAAATGAAACCGAAACGGGCCAACAACAAAATGTATGAGCTGAGTTGATAACTGACTAATTGGATACCCTTTTTAAAGGATTTAAATATAAAGATTCCTGAAAAGTGTAAAAAAACTACAGGAAAGATTTATAGGTTACCAAAAACTTTGCAATTAACACAACTAGTTCGATTGATTTGTTAACTAAGCAAAAAATATTAAAATTTAGCTAAAAACGGTGTCTTAAGCAATCGGCATACCCATTCCCTGCCCTTTTGGCTTGCACCCTGCGGACCTGGCCCAATCCAATAGTTGGCTATTACTCAGGCTCTGGATATTGGCCGTTACTGCGGGCCGAGCCCAAAAGTATGCAATGGCCGCGCATGTGGAACAAGATGGCTTTTCCCGCTCGGTGCAGCGGGAAAGCGCGGCCCTTTAATTAGTTTTCATGGCAAGTCATCTGAGCTGACATTGTTAGCCGCGATGGAGCTGGCCAAAAAGCCAGTCAGCCAACCAGCCAGCCAACCAGCCAGCCAACCAATCGGCAACTGGGTTAAGCGATTTTCGCCTGCTTTTATTTCCTCCAATCGCGCCGAGACGTCGCCATGTTAATTTATTGAGCCGAACGCAGTTAAAACTTAACCTCAGCCGTTTGTCCGTATATTTTGTCCGTATATTGATAGTTTCAGCTCCGATTCTGTGGCAGTGGCAGTGGCAGGCCATAAAGCCAGCACTTGTAAATTGTTTAAAGGCAATAAGGAGGCGGCTGCAGACTGCAGATGCAGTCGCTTAGCAAAAAATAGGAGCAGCGGGCGAATGGAGCCAGTTAATATTTTATAAATTTCACTTGGCGCTGGGTTTTAATTTCAGCCGGCAATAGGAAAGAATGCACCGGCGGGAAAAGCGGAAAAGTGGAAAAGCGGAGAGTGGCTGAGGAATCCCTTTTGCTCGGTGGCTCGGCATTTTATGGAGCTGCTCGATGCCTTCTCGGCTTTTGCACTCAACACAATTTTTATGGTCTGTTTGCGTCTTTTCACTTGATTGCACTTGTAATCTTTTCTTAACGGCTTCGGCGTCTCCGGGTATTTTCGGTTTTCCCTGGTTTTTCCGCCGGCTTTTCCCTCTGGTTGCATGCTACTATGGCATTTTTATAGCCGCCTGCGTTTAACTAATTGAAATCGTTTGTGGCCAAAGTTTGCGAGGAGGATTTTATTTCGCCGAATGTCGTTTTAATTGATATTCAATTGTGCCGATAAATATATTTATCTGTGATCCTGTGAGTGGGAGTGTGTGGCTTGAATGGCTTTCTAATTAAATGGCGACGGCGGGCGAATGCAAATGGAAGCGGTCGAAAAGCCACAGGAGGAAACGCAGGAAGTGCGCTCGAGAGCCCAAATCAAATTAATTTCACTGTCTGTTCCGCCCAAACAGCCATGGAAATGTGTTCAAGGACACTGTTTGGCAACTAAATAATAGCTCGTCATCAATTATTCGCATGCGTCCGCCTTTCAAATGCGACACAATTTAGATTTAAATTTAAATTTAAGGATGGCTCCCTCTCATCTAGGCGCTCTAATGAAATTCTCCGCTGAGCTTCATTTGCCATGCAAAAAACGTAATTCATTAGGTTTTCTTTAATTTAAAAACCTCGCCTGGTCTCCATGGTATCATTAAAATAATTACGTTTTCCTTTTTCGCCCCGGCTCCTTTCATAACATTTTTTCCCGTCCTTTTTTTTGCTATGGGAGCTCGCTCTTTGGCGCCCAAATCAAATGTTTCAATCTTATCGCCGGGCCAACACCTTGGCTTTTGATTTATTGGTCTCCCCGGGCTCTCCTATCTGCCCTGCACTCTTGCACTTCCCAGTGGTTGAACATGTGCAATTAATTAAAAACTCCTCAGGTTCAAGGGGAAAACTACGCTTGAAGTTTTCACAGGGAGAATTAACACTTAAAGCTGTTGGGGCAACAGCAGAACAATGGGCTGCTTGGCTTTGGCCAAGACAAACTGCAAATTATGAGCAAAAACTTTCGACTGTTATGGATTTTTATTGAACCAAAGGCTTTTGGCTTTCCTGTGGCCAAGGCAAACAACCGGGAGTCCGGAATTCAATGTTAATTAAAATGCTAAGCTCCGGCGCCCGGGGCCAAAGTAAATTTATAAATTGAGCAATATCCTGCGGCTGTCACAGAAAGTTGTTGCTGTTGACATTGGCCACAAAGTGGCAAGGAAGTGGAAGTGGCAGTGGAAGCCTAAGCCCTGAGCTGCACATGAATCTTGCTTATGTGCTGATGATGGCCACGCCTTCAAGGGGCCATTTGGGCAACTTTGACCAACATTCGGGCACTGGACAAACAAACCTACATATAGCCATTGTCGACTTGAGTGAGAAATAACCGAGAGGCCCCGGAATTCATTTGCCGACCAAACATGCTGGCCTTGCAAAGAACCAAAGAACCAACTGGGATTTTTGGGCCGAACACTTGCATGCATAAGTAAACAAATCCACACATAATACCCATTCCTCATCCTCATCCAGGGTATATTCGATTCCGGACAATCGGCTCCGAAAGTCAGCCATCTTCGGTATGAATTGCTTGGCAAAGGCATCGCAAAATCATTTGCCTGGCATTTGAGTGTGTGCCAAATGATTTGTTGGTCCCACCCCGTCGGTGGGCCAAGACAAAAACTGACAAGCCAAAACAAAGAATGCGATTCCACTTCTACCGAAATTCATAAAGCGGAGCGAGAGCAAAGTCCTCGTTCTGCACATGAAGAAATTCAGTTAATATGGAAATAATAACTATCCGAACTCAATATTTTAACATCATCAATTTAAAATATTTAATTAAGATAGGAAATATGATAGACGACATTACTCATATTTACTTTAACGATTTTTAATAAAAATAGATGTTTCTATTAAAATCGCAATAAAAAATCCCTAAATGATCTATACCTACATATTTTTCTATATTTGTAATAAATACAAATTAATTCGATTACACTGCAATTTAATAAGAAATTACTGGACTTACTGCTTCTATTTTTTTATCATTGTGTAAACAATAGAATCCCAAATATATCCCCTTGAATTTTCTTTACAGTGCACAAATTTTAACTGAATGCGCACAAATGTTGTTCGCCAACAACTGCAAACTCTTTTTTTTTTTTTGCCCAGTTTTTGGCAGAACTTGAAATGGATTTTGGTTTTCTATTTTATGGGTTAAGTGTTCGCTGGCAGAGCTCTTGAAAGCCCACACGCACAGCATACACCCCGCCCACTTCAACCGCACACCAATCCCTTCGATGTGGAGCACAAATCAATAGATTTGCTCTCTCGTGTTCGAATGTGGTTGTAATAAAATTACATTTCAACGCTCGCTGTGCGAGTGTGTGAGTGGGTGAGTGTGTGTGCCTGTGACCAATATTTCATGTTTGAATTATGCGATTTTTATTGAAATTTCAAGCATCGTCTGCTGTCAGGCGATGAGGTTGTTTTTGGTGCCCAATTGCCGGTGCCCGAAAATCCCCTTCCTATATCATCCGGCCCATTGCATGTTTTTCCCCGCTTTTTCCACTGCGACTGCAAGGACTCTGGTTTCAGGTTTCTGGTTTCTGGCTTTTGGACTCGGGAATCGGGACTCTGGACCCTGGACAAAGGACGGTGTCGGGCAAACAATGCAACATGTCACTCCTGCCTGTCCCAGGGAATTCTGTCGGGGACATTGTTGTCGCAGGCCTCTGATTTATTGGAGGACAGGTGAGGTGGCAGGTGAGGTGGTTTACAACCCAACCTCCCCTTTCGCAAGGCACACGCTTTTAATCGCCGACTGTGGCAGTTGGAAATTCGGATCTGTCAGTTGCACACACATATCCCCGCACCGCATTCATTCAGTTCATTCATATTTTCGGACTGGCTTGCCCTCAAACTCACCTGTGTGCGTTCTTTGGTGGGCCTTCAGGTGTGAGCTCTTCGTGTAGACTTTTTTGCAGCCCAGAAATTGGCACTTGTGTATCCGTCTCTTGGCGTCCGGGCTGTGATCGCTGTGATGTTGGCGCGGGTGATGTGATTTCGAGGAGCCTGAGGGTTCAAATTCGAAAAAAAAGAATATTCTAGGTTAAGGACTGTCTAAACTGGGTCAAGTGATTGCCAAACTCACCATTCGATGGCTTGTCAGCCCTTTGCGAGAGCACCTGTTGCTGCTGTGTCGCCGTGTTGCTGTTGCTGCTGGTGTTGCTGCTGCCGCTGGTGTTGCTATTGCTGCTGCTGCTGTTGGCCGCTGCACTGAGTACGGCTGCCACATTGGCATTGCCGTTGTTCTGCATCTGGATGACGCGGGCTAGACTGATGCCAGCTGCCCCTGGCTTGCCGTTGGCCGTTGTGAGGCGGACGATGGTGCTGCGCGGAATGTTGCTGTGTGTCGGCTGGTCGCTGTTGCTGCTGCTGCTGCTGCTGCTGCTACTACTGCTACTACTGCTGCTGCTGCTGGTGCTCTTGGGCGAGTTGCTGCCGTTGTTGTTGCTGCTGCTGCTGCTGTGGCCAAGGGCCTGTGGCGATATGCTCAAGTGCTGGACGGCCAACTGCTGTTGCTGCTGCTGCAGTTGCGTCATTGTGGGATTGCTCTGGCTGGTGAATCGCAGGATTGCTGTAGCGGGTGTGGATGTGTTGCTGGGCTGTGGATGTTGCTGCTGCTGCTGCTGTTGCTGTTGCTGCTGTATCAGTGCCGCCAGATCGCTGGCCTCCAGCTGCTGGGCATAGTTGTGGCTACGCAGGCTGGACTCGGGCGATGAGGGGGGCGTGAGGGTGGGCAGCACAAAGTCCTGGACATGCCCCAGGTGCAATCTCGCACTGCTGCCCGGATGGCTCTTGGCCTGGACCACTCGCACCTTGATGCCCGGCGCCGAGCTGTTGCGGGAACTCACTGTGATGGTGCTGCCGCTGCCCAGACTGCTCAGCGGACTGGCAATGATGTTGCTGCTGCTGCTGGTGTTGCTGTTGCTGATGATGTTACTATTGCTGTTGCTTATGCTATTGCTGCTGCTGGTGGGCGTCATGTTGCCCGCACTGCCGATGCTGGGATTGGGGGAAATGGCCGAGGGCGGCGCCGCCAGCAGGACACTCAGCTTGTCATCACAGGCCACGCCCACCTCGTCGTCCTCCTCGTCGATCCGCTCCTGCTTGACCAGCACCGAGCAACTGAGCGCCTGGGAGCCATTGCTGTCCCAGGAGATCCCCGAGCAGTTGGACGAGACCGAGGAGGTCGTCGAGATCGTGTCCAGGTGCTGCTCCTTGATCTTCAGCTCCTCGAGCAGGCGGGCGGGTGTGGAGAATATGTCCCAGGCGTTGTCCAGGTTGCTGTGTATCTTCTTCTGCAGCTTCGGCTCATCCCGGAGATAGCGTTCCAGTTCGTAGCAGGTCTGTAAAAATACGAGCAGAAGGGAGAAAGTTCATGAAAGTCAGTCCATTAAGGGGGGTCAAAGTTAATGGATTCTGGTGGCCCAATTCAATTTGCCCGCTATACACATTGCCGGAATTTTCGAGCACATTAAGCCGATAATTTAGGGACGCTGCCCGCGGCCAGCAACATAAACATAAATTTCAAATTATGCTTTATGCCTGCCGCAATTACAGGTAATAATTTTGCGCATTGAATTTATGGCCGGTTGCATACTTTCGGGCGCCACCGAAGTCGCTTAATGGAGGCGACAATTAAGTGCACATGAAACAGGTAAAATGCAGGTGGGTGGTTGAGGGGGTGGCACCACCGCCTGCCCGCGGGCCACTCCTTTGATCTGCGCTCCACTCGGGCGGACTCATTTCGCAACTCGTTGCAAGTGGTGTGCGCAGGGTAAACAGCAAACTGCAAACAGCAAAAAGCCCACGGCACTTGCCACGCCCCTTTGATGCAACGCTTTCAATATATGAGAGAAAGCCGAATTTTTGGGGGCACCCACCTCCCACCTTTTAAAGACACCCACAAATTGAACACATGAACGGCAATTTGCAAGCCCATTTGTACTGAAAAACCTTTTCTACACAAAAAAAAACACGTTGGGTTCAAATTGATATGCGCATGATTAATTTCTGGTATTTATACGCATATCCTTTTGTTTTTTCTTGGAGATACTCTAAATTAAATGAAATTAAATTACGTGAGTGGTAGCAAAAATAATTAATTTTCTTCACATTTCGAGCATATCAAGTCAAAGTCGAGCATATCAAATCGATCTTCGATTCATATTAACTTTTTTTTGGCGTGTAAGGAAACCTTCTTCCTTTTGATTCGGGGGTGCCAACAAATCTTATTAAGTGCGATGCAAAGCACAGAAAGCCAATGAGACGGAATAAGCAGCTAGAGAAAAGGAAAAAACCCGCTTTGACCATTTTTCCGACTCTCACACATGCCCGCCGCGTAAATCACTTTAAGTGTTATTTCAAGAAAATAATTGCAACACATAAATTCCCAGCCGAAAGGCAACCCTTTTCAGGGAGCAGGGAAAACTATAATGGTTTATGAATCGGGATAATGGCTGAGGGTCCTGGGATCGGGCTTAGACTTTCGGTTTTGGCCTCAACAGACACACACTCACTAGTACAACACATGATTAATGGGCGGCTGATGCTGCTGCTGCTGTTGGTGCATTTCCCCGCTTTTCCTTTTTCCTTTATTTTCACTCAGACAATGCAGGCATGGAGAGGAGGGCGGGCGGCAATCTTTGAGCAGAAATCTAAATAAAATGTTACATGCGCGCAATGCAAAAGCAATTTGATATATTGTTTCGGGGGTTTTCAGGTGGCCAAGGGAAGTGCTATCAAAAATGGCATTTTGATTTATGCGCTGCTCCCGGCGATGCTGCAAACAAATCACGTGAGCCAACAGGCCAAAGATTAGACGCGACTTTCAAATTGCTGCCGGCGAACAAGGACTCGAACTACCCGCCACCTTGTAGCGCCACCTGATTGATGGCCAGCGGGTGTGCAGTTCAGGGTCCCGGCCAATTTATAAAAAAACTAAGTCAGCCAGTTTCCACCTGGCCAAAACAAAAAAAAGCAATATGGCGCCCATACTCGCCATGTTAGAACACAATTATCGTGCTAATTATGATGCGTTATCTGGTGCTCGGCAATTAGTATAATTAGTGCTGTGTTGCCAGGACTCTCATTTGGCTAACAACTAAATGCAAGGATTTTAATTAATTTGCCAAAACCGCAGGCAGATATTGCACGCTTTGCGGGTGGTGAAAATGAGAATGAAAATGGGTTTGCAAATGCGAATTATTATTGATAAGTGCAAAATCTAATTGCAGCCACTTGCTAACCGTCAGTTTGAAATGTGCAGGACGGACTTTCATTGGCTCTAGTACATACATTATTTATGATCTACAATCTCCAACAGAAAAGCACAGATTAAACGAGGGGAATAATCGGACTGGTGGGTTTTATGGGAAATAATTCGGTAGCCAGTAGCAACGCAGCTACGTTGAATAATAATCGTCGAGTAATTCCCGTAAACAGCGCGTTCGTATGTATATAATTATGGATATTGACGGGTTTTCCTACTTAAGCCCTTAACAACAGCAAGAAGAACACTTGGCGGCAGATTGAAGAGGGCAAAAGTTGGCTCTTTGTTGTAATCAACATAATTATTGTTGGCACAAAGTTCTGCGATTCGGCGAGCAGGAAGAAAACATTTTTCCCCCATGTGTGTGAAGGGAAGGGGGAATAAAACTTTTCTACTTTTCTTAGGGAAACTTTTTTCCCGCTTTTTTTCTCTGTTGCTCATTTGTGTTTAATAGAAATTTATTTGCCCACCCCGGGATGTGTGGGAGTTCAGGATTTAGCCCCGCATTTAACTGGTGCGAGGGTGACAAAACAAAACAAAACACTTTTGCGCACTTTTTCGCCAGCAATTTATGTCGCTCCACTTTGGGCCACATAAAAATCTTCATTTCCGTAGCGTTTACTCGCCGTCTGCCTTATGTTTCCATTTCTATTCCTGCCTCTGCTTCTGTTTCTGATCCTAAATTGTGGTTCTCCATTTCCCATTGCCATTTGTTTTTCCTTTTTTTCTCACTTTTCGGTCTTGTTTTAACTCTGATCTGGTTTATGCGCTGCACTTAGGCGATGTGGTGACAGCTGCGGTTATTAAAACCTGCAAATTGTATTTATATCCCCCGGCAAAGTGGAACCCAGATTTTGACAAGCCGCTGGAAAAAGAATAGACATATTTCGGCATAAATTTATTGGCTCACAGATTACCAGGACAGGCAGACAGGGGAGAGATTTTCCAGATACAGATAGAAATATAAATACAAATGCAGAAACAGAGGATGTTATCCTCCACTTTTAGACTAAGCAAATTATAGAAGGAGCTCCTCTGATGACTGTGAGCCACCACAGAATGCCAGAATAGAACAGTTTTTTATGTTCTATTCTGGCATTCTGTGGTGGCTCACAGTCATCAGAGGAGCTCCTTCTATAAACGAAATCCTTAAATTTTTGCAATTATCTAACCACAAATTGTTTGCCTAGTCTAGAGCATTTGAGTTCTCAAGAGAAACTCCCATTGTGTGGGGCCCGAGCAAACAAAATTTTGAGCAAAACCGGATGAAATGAAATGTTTGCCCAAGGACCAAGCGATCCAGGACTTTGGTGGCAAATTGAATTTGGCCACAGCAAATAGAGTCTGTCATTTTTCCGGGGTTGTGTGCACACATGCTAATGTAAAATAAAAGCATGCGATTAAATTTAATTATCTAGCATGTTTATTAAAGTCCACAAATGCGATGTGGCAGGAGGGGATTGGAATGGGAATATCGCACAATTGGGAGAGATTTGGAGTATTTGTCTGCAGGCTGCTGGCACATCCACATCCACTCAAGCACTGGTATGAAAAATAACGCTGGCTTTGGGGCTATACCCGCGGGATGCCACGCCCCCAAAGCCCCATCCCCCGCCCTTGGGGGGCGGAACATATTTAATTATGTGTGTAATTGAAAAAGACGCAACGGCAGTTAAGGAACACACATACGCATGCCTCAAGGAAGAGAAATCAAGCCGTGACTATTATGCGGCACATGTCTGCAAAGTGTCCTGGATGTCCCGTTGCGATTTCCTTGCCCCTTGTGCGTGTGTGAGTGCCTCCTTGGTGCGTGTCTGTTTATTAGAAAGACATTAGCCGACGCCAGCGGGCGGCAATCGCCCTGCGGTTACAGAAAAACGCCAGCAGAAGCGGCGAGGAAACCAGGACTAAGGAAACCCGGACCAAGGAGCATCTGCCAGAGCCCAAAAAAAGAGCGCTACACAAATACAATTTCGACTTCTCCTCCGCCGCCTGCATTATGTCATTTAATGAGCCATAATTCCAGAGAGAGAGAGCCCAAAGCCCCCATCCCCGGGGGAAATGTTCGCCGAACATTTTTCCGTCTTCCATTTGCGACTTGCTGTCTGCTGCCTTCATTTTGAAAGTTTTAATGAACGAAACGTAATGAAATTATGCCGACAATTAATGCCGCCCGAAGTGGAAACGAAGAAAGCACTTTAAGATGGAACAGGCCCATTTAAGATGAGCATTTTGTATCAGATCGAAATGAAGAAATGTTAATCGAGGAAACGGTTCGGGGTCAAGGTCCCTGCTCGGGCGCCAAGGTGCACAAGGTCTGAGTTATAAAAAACTATCCAAGGTGATTACGCTAAATAATGAAATCATATTTGAAGGTATTCATAATTTAAGTCAATACAATTCTTACATTTGTTCATATAGATAGTCTTAAAGTCACTGTTCGGGCGCCATGTTGCTCATAGGTGAGCATTTAGCATTTGCTAACCTAACCAATTATATATATTTCTCACTGAAAATCATATTTAAATGTAATAGTAGCATAACCCATTCAAAATAACTTGATTTCTCCAAGCAGTCAGACTTACTGTCCCTGTTCGGGCGCCAAGGAGCCTCATTGAACTAGCTTTATAATTGTAAGTGCTCATCAAATCGATGCAATTATTGCACGGTGTAATGTTACCTCAACTTTCTCACTTACTGTCTCAACGTTATGGTCATATTTTGCCCTTTATGCCTTACATGTTTATATGCAACATACACACATGCCTGGAGATTACACACAGATTGATACGTTTCGTGTGTCGTTGGGATTGCAACTATTGTTTTCAATTTACGTCCTGCTGCGCAGCTTCAACTTCTCACCCTGAAAGGCCAGGCGATGGCGATGCAGCTCCTTGTTATCTGGCTGTCAGCTAAGTGACTTCTTAATACGGGCGAGTGTGGGGCGAAAGCAGAAAGTGGCTGCAATCTGAGGAGTTGTAAGTGAAGCAGCAGCAGCAACAATATCAGCCAGTCACTAGTCACTCGATTTGGCAATAACAATAAGCCAGACAAGGAGATGTGGGCCAGCGGGTG